AGTGCTGATGGGAAAAAACTCTCCCTGGAACCTTAGCACCTGCTGCTCTAAACAGATATTAGACTAGTTGGTTAAAATACAGTAGGCCCTCCACTTTCCTAGAGGTTAGGGGTGCATGCCCCCCTTGGAAGACCTCAAAATTCCAAGAGAGAAGATATTAATCAACTCTGTGAATATTCAAATCCAAAGTGTTAAACCCAGTGGAAGTATCCAATTAAAAGAAATTGAGAAACCACAGCTCTGTGAAAGAATACAAATATTGTATTCCAAAGATTCAGCCTCCAGCTTCTTAAGATGGTTGGATTGGTTCATCATTCAGTTTTATCATGGGACCTTCCCTCCCTCATTGCAACAATTTCCTCCTTTTAAAAAAAGTACTTTGTTTTCTGCAGTGTAAGGCCCTTGAACCTGTAAGGATGGCCTTGGGGTGACATGTGGTCCATTAGAGAGGGGCATGCCTTGGTCACCTTGGTTCGCGAAGGCGGATCTGGCTGGAGTGGTCCATGCCTTGGTCACCTCCAGATTGGATTACTGCAATGCGCTCTATGTGGGGCTGCCCTTGAAGACAGCTCGGAAGTTCCAACTGGTCCAACGATCAGCAGCCAGGATGCTAACTGGGGCCCCTTACAGAGAGAGGTCAACCCTCCTGTTCAAGGAGCTCCACTGGCTGCCGTTTATATTCCGAGCCCAATTTAAGGTGCAGGTGCTTACCTACAAAGCCCTGAACGGTTTGGGACCAGCCTACCTGCGTGACCGCATTTCCATCTACGAACCCATGCGTTCACTTCGGTCATCTGGAGAGGCCCTGCTCGTGATCCCACCGGTGTCACAAGCGCGCTTGGTGGGGACGCGGGACAGGGCCTTTTCCATGGTGGCCCCCCAACTCTGGAACACCCTCCCCAAAGACCTTAGACAGGCCCCTTCATTGGCTGTCTTCAGAAAGAACTTGAAGACCTGGCTTTTCCGATGCGCCTTCCCAGATTAGGAAATCTCCACTACCAAGTCCCATAAACCAATGATTGTTGCACACCGCACATCGCACTTGCCCTAGAAGCCCTTTATACACCTCCTGTCACATCAGCACTTTTAATCCTGTACCCACCTTTTAGCCCGGCCCAGTTTTATTGTGTTTTAGTGTATTGTGCTTGTTGTTTACTTCGCTCTATTCTGTTTTTAATTGTTTGATTTGCTTAGATTTTATTGTTATGTTGTGTTGTTGAGGCCTCGGCCTGTGTAAGCCGCATTGAATCCTTCGGGAGATGCTAGCGGGGTACAAATAAAGTATAATAATAATAATAATAATAATAATAATAATAATAATAATAATGTACTGCTACTAAGGGGGCAACTTGTAGGCATCTGTTGGGCTACTGTGGGAAACAGGATGCTCCATTGACCCTTGGTCTCATCCAGCTGCGCTTTTCGTATTTTTGGAGATAGAGAAAGTGCCTGTTTGCAAAGCTGGAGAGCTACTAGCCATCAGTGGTTCCCTGAAAAGGTTTTTGTGCAGTTTCTCTTATCTGAAAATCTGAATTACTTCAAAATCCAAAGTTGCCTACATGAATGGCAGAAATAGAAAATTTGAATGTCCATTGTTACCTTCCAGTTTTTATACTCTTATATTAATAGTGTATTGTTTGAACCTGAGTGCTACGTCCATGGATATTTGTTGTTGTTTCGTGCTTTCAAATTGCTTCTGGCTTCTGGCACCCCAAAGACATGGGCATTTCCTGGCAAACCATATGGCTTTTCTAGGGTCACTTAGTGGGTTTCAATGGCTCTGCTGTTATTTGAACCCTCATCCCCAAGTATCTTAGTCCAATGCTCAGACTGTTTAAACACGCTGGCTCTCTGTGCATGGAATACCTAGCTATTTTGGATCTAACATCAGTGTTGCACACATTGTAAAATGAATCCAGCACTTCTTTTGTACCACAGCCACTGGGTTCATTGGCATCTAGACAATCCTGTTTTTCCTTGCCAAATTTTGTAATGATTTTTAGCCTTACGTATATTCTGCCAATTTGGGTCTGATCTACAGTGTGATCATAGCTCAGGGAACAATGCTTCATGAGGCAGCCTTTGTCACCTTCCATAATCATGATCATCCAAATTAACATGTAAATGGGTTGCTGTGAGTTTTCTGGGCTGCATGGCCATGCTCCAGAAGCATTCTCTCCTGACATTTCACCTACATCTATGGCAGGCATCCTCCGAGGTTGAGGGGTCTGTTGGAAACTAGGCAAGTAAGGATGTGTAGTGTCTGTGGAATGTCCAGGGTGGGAGACAGAAATCTTGCCTGCTTGAGGCAAATGTGAATGTTGCAAATGACCACCTTAATTAGCATTTAATGGCCTTGCAGCTTCAAAGCGTGGCTGTTTCCTGCCTTGGTTGAGAGGTGTTAGCTGACCCTGGTTGATTCTTGTCTGGAATTTACCTGCCTTTTGAGTGTTGCTCTTTATTTACTGTCCTGATTTTTTTAAGTACAGAGCTGTATAATACAATATGGCCCACTTATCCATGGATTCGATATCCATGATTTCACTTCCCCATGCTCCAAAAAACATTAATCTTCTCCTGGAAGTGTTTGTGGGGTGTATTCAGTATAAATTGGTTTATATGGGCGATACATTTGAGTCCTTCCAGAAGATGCATGAAACAGCAGGTAACAGTGAATGTACTATTTTCTTTTATGTGCACAGAACATCCTTTGGGAGTTTGCAGTGGCAGCAGTGGCAATTCTTCCCATTCCCCCAGCCAGGGTTGTTGCATGAATATATACACACCAGCCTCAGGATTGGAGAAACAGCACTCTCCAATATCTCTCAGTGAAGAATTTCTGCTGGAGGGTTTTCAATCCATGGTTGGTTTTTCACAGCATGGCTGTGGCGCAGCTAGTTAGTAGCCAGCTGCATTAAATCATTACTGACTGAGAGGTCATGAGTTCAAAGCCAGCCCAGGTTGGAGTAAGCTCCTGACTATTAATAGTCTAACTTGCTGTTGACCTATGCAGCCAGAAAGACAGTTGCATCTGTCAAGTAGAAAATTCAGGTACTGCTTTAGGTGGGGAGGCTAATTTAACTCATTTACAATGCCATAATTTACAATGAGCTTGTTGACCAAAAGGTCGCAGGTTCAAAGCCAAGGAGCAGCATGAGCTTCTGCTGTCAGCCCCAGCTATTGCCAACCTAGCAGTTCAAAAACATGCAAATGTGAGTAGATCAATAGATACTGCTCCGGTGGGAAGGTAACGGTGCTCCATGCAGTCATGCTGGCCACATGACCTTGGAGGTGTCTACAGACAATGCCGGCTCTTCAGCTTAGAAATGGAGATGAGCACCACACCCCAGAATCGGACACGACTGGACTTAATGTCAGGGGAAAACCTTTACCTTTACCTACAATGCCATAAAACCTCCCGGCAGCATGCAGAATAATGAGGAAGTACTCCATCAAAGGATCTGGCGTCACAAGTGAATGGTGAAGTGGCAGCTCCCCCTGTGGCCGGAACYGAGMATATCCTCGTGAAGCCAGAAAAAGCTGAATTGTTAAATTGCCTCTGTGTCTGTCTATATATGTTGTATGTCTAAATGGCATTGAATGTTTGCCATGGATATGTGCATTGTAATCCACCCTGAGTCTCCTGCAGGGTGAGAAGGGTAGAATATAAATACTGTAAATAAATAAATAAATAAATAAATAAATAAATACATGTAAGTCTCTAGTTGCAGGGGTGCATGTCACATGTGAATTCAAGTTCTGATCAGCTATACTCAGGATAATAATTGTGAAGGAATCTTAGGGATTGCAGTGTTTTGCTCTCTTTCTTGGGAACTTTCATCTAGCTTTTAAGTATTCTGTGCCCCCAGAGGCAAGTCCACAAGCTTTGGGTCTGTGAATGTAATTAATAGTAAGTGATGCAACAATTGTAGTTTGTGTGAATAAGAATAGATTTGCAGAATCAGATCAAAAATCCTGTTTTATGGGGCTACCTGGATATCTTCAAAATGTTCCTAACCAGTGCTTTAGGTCAGTTGTACAGTATGACCATCGTATCGATAGGTCTAGTATCTCTGATTTCACTTATCCACATTTTAAAAGATAGTTCCCTCTAGCATTTTCTAAATCCTCCTGTGTGATCCCATGGTGTGCTTCAGCCAGATGTTGACTATAGAATTGAGGTGGATGACCTAGAAATGGTAGCTGTTTTCTTTAGGAATTGTCTAAGTCCTCCAGTTCAAGTCTCTGGTGTTTTTCTACTAGACCTTGACAATAGAATCATGCTGGAGGACCTAAATTTTATTTATTTACCACACTTTTATCCCACCCTTTTCAGCTCGAAGGTGACTCCGTCCATGGAAAATCTATGTTTAGTACTCACTGTAGCTTCACATTTCCATGGCAAGTCCAGGAACATATCCTCCATGAATATAGGAGTATGCTTCTGCCAGATGTTGCTATGGAGTTGCTCTAGAGGATTGTTGCACATAATTACTCCCATATCGAGAGTTCTGGTATCTGTGATTTCATTTACCCACATCTGAAAAAAATAATAATTTAAAGGCATTTTCTAAGTTTTTCGGCATGATTTTATTGGATGTGTTTGTTGGAAGTTCATCACAAAGCCTCCTTGAGGATCTAGAAATGCAAGAGAGATGTCCTCATTACACATTTTCTAGTTCTTCCAGCATAGCTTTATGTCCAACTTTCACCAAAAGTCATTCATTTCAATAACATTTCTTATTATTTCCTTTGGCAGTTGAGGCAAAAAATTGATTGAGCGCAGAATTATAATTTGGGAGACAATTCTCCATGCCGTTGCTAAACATCCACCTTTCTGTTGTTAAAATGCCTAACTTATTTGTTATCTAAATTCTAAATACTTTGGTGCCTGTGTTGGTTTTATAACAAGGGGAGAGATTGTTTTATTTTTGCATTGCCTATATCTGTTGTAGAATTTTTGAAAATCCTTGTTCTTTTCTCACCTCTCTCCTTTCCAGCTGCTCTGGCTGTCTCTCAACGTGGGCCTGTTTTGGAAAACTTTCCGGCTGTATTATTGCGAGCCCCAGTATTACTATTTGCATCAGATGCTTGGGGTAAGTGATGGAGTGCTTTCTCTCTTTTTTTTCTCTCTTTTTCTTTTCTTGGGACTCAGGGAATGCAAAGGAAGTGGAAAATATAGACTAATGGGGAAGATTGGGGGCTTCTCAGTGACTCACAAGAAAGGGAAAAGGGGAGGGAGTTTGTTTGGAGACCGAGGGAGGAATTCTGGGGGCGGGCAGGCGGAGGACAGACAAAGGGACCTGTTGCTGACTTTGAATGAAGGGTGGGAGTCTGTCAAAGGTCTGGGAAAGCCTAATTCCCCCTCCTCTCCTCGCCTCCTTCCTTCATCCTCCAACCCTCCAGCTCCCAGCTGCAGGCATATGAACCTCTCCAGCGGATGACTGGACTTTGCAGGGTTAGTCATGGTAATTTTAAGCAATCTCATGGGTGAGTTCCGGCAAAGCTTTCATGCTAGCCCTCCTGATGCATCTTTCTCAAGGGAAGAGAAGCTCTGTCCTTCTGCTCCCCCCACTTTTCCCATTATAACATGAGTGTTTACATCCTTAATATCTTTCTCATGAGTTTAGAAAGACCAGCCAGTATGCCCTTCCCTCCAAAAAAGAGAAAGAAAAGAGGAGAAAGTAAAAAAATTAAAAAGTTGTCAACACTTTCACCCTTTAAATATAAGAAAGAGGAGAGAAAGAAAACGAAAAGGGAAGAAAGGAGAAAAGTAAACATGTTCAACACATTCCCTTAAAAATTAAGAAAGGGGAGAGAAAAAGAAAAAGTCAAAAGTTCTTTAAAACTTTCTCTTAAAATATGATAAAAGCAAAAGAAAGTAAAGAAAGAGGAGAAGAAAAGAAAAGATTAAAATGTGTTCAGGGCATTTCACCCTCCTCAGAAAAATGGTAAGAGAAGAGAAAGAAGGGAAAAAAAGAAAAGAGGAGTAGGCAGGATAAGAGTAAAAAGCATGCAAGACACTTAGGTCTGTCTCTGTGTGTGTCTGCACATCTGTTCAGGAAGTGATTTTTCTCTGCTTTTAAAAATCAAACAAAGCAAAATGCAATTTTAGCAATTTTCTTCTTATTGCAAGATTACGCAAGCTTTCTTTAGAATTGCAAGTTTCATGTGTCTCAGACCTTAATCACAGGCAGAAATCCATCAGGTCCATCTATTTGCATTAATAATAATAGTAATAATCTTTCATTTATATCCCACCACCCTCTCCCAGAGGGATTTGGGGTGGCGCACAAAACACTCAAGGTGTGACACGCAAAATACAACAAGTGCAAAACAAAACATCCGAGTAGACAATAAACAATCAACACATCATGAGTTCATAGTACCTCCTGGGTAAAAACAATAAAATATGGACATATAATAAGCAGGAAGATAGACCTGTGGAATTTCCTCCTATCATTTGGTTGCTTGAGGCACTGATGTCCCTCTCCTTTGCCTCTTGTACAATCATGAGGTCTAGAACACCGACCTTTAAAGATCATGATGATAGAAATGGAGATTCTCAAGATATACAGTTTCGATCACACATTTGTCTGCCATGAACCACTCAAAGCAGGAATGAGGATGTGCATCCTCTAATGTTCAAATCAGCAATTGGATTTCCCCTCTTTCTTCTTTTTGATGTGGCTCCAAGGAGAATCCTTGGTTTTCAATTCATAGCCTAAAATGCTGCAGGATCTTCATTGGCCAAGCTATTTTTTTAAAGAATTGTTACTGCTAAAAAGAAAATACAAATGTCCATCCTATTATATTTTACATATAGGTACTGTATTATAAAGTGTCACAGGATTGATTTATGTGATTCTTAATCTATGGATGTGAAGTTTGCAACCAATATGAGCATATTTATTTATTTATTTACAGTATTTATATTCTGCCCTCACTCTGAAGGGGATTCAAGGTGGCAAACACATAAACGGCAAACATTCAATGTTATTATACATTGTCAGGATAGACACCTTACATTGATAGAGGTATATAAGCTTTCCCATCTTCAGCATCTTGGAGGATGTGCTTGATTCCGGCCACAAGGGGGTGGTGTCGCTTCATCCTCCATGCTGAAGAATCATAGTTGCAGACTTCCTCCTTTGATCGAATCGCCAGAATTTCTAGCATTTCCTTATAGGTGTTTTTTAAATATACCCCCACTAAAGCAGAATAATAATAATAATAATAATAATAATAATAATAATAATAACAACAACACTTTATTTGTACCCCGCTACCATCTCCCCAAGGGACTCGGTGCAGCTTACATGAGGCCGAGCCCAAACACAACAATACAAACAATAATCACAACAATACAAGCAATTAAAATAAAACATAGATGATAACATATAACACTATCAATAAGACAACATACAATTAAAACTGTGGGAAGGCCAAATGTAAAAATTAAAATTGGAAATAGTGCTGAGGCATGGACGAAAAGGTGATAGAGGTGTTTGTGGAAGACATATGAGCAGACCTAAAAATATAAAGTGCTTTGGAGGGACAAAGTGCTATGGGATCATTATTCTGGGAAGGCACACTGGAACAACCACGTCTTCAGGCTCCTCCTGAAGACTGCCAGGGTTGGGGCCTGTCTGATCTCCTTAGGGAGTGAGTTCCAGAGTCAAGGGGCCACCACTGAAAAGGCCCTAAAAGTATGTATTTATCTATTATTTATTTATTATTTACATCATTTCTATCCTGCCCATTTCAGTCCAAATTAGATGCCCTATACACACACACACACATATACACATACATAGATACATACATACATACATACACATACGTACATACACACATACACACACATTTATGTATATCAGTTAAAAGCAATTAAATCACATCATAAATACATATAAAATCCATAAAAACTATAAAAACTAACAATCTATAAAAAATCAGTGTCTTCTAGACCAATTCCTCATTTGTTTACATCGTCTTGGCCATTCCATATTCGTATTACAATTTTGTGTTTATCCGGTCAGGCTGAAGCTCCAAATGCTTGCTCAAAGAGCCAAGTTTTCACCCTTTTCCGAAAGGTCAGGAGGGAGGGGCCAATCTAATATCCCTGGGAAGGGAGTTCCACAGCTGAGAGGCCACCACTGAGAAGGCCCTGTCTCTCATCCCCGCCAGATGCACCTGTTTCTGATCTGCTAGGTGGGTAACCTATCACTGAGTTTTTCTTGGCAAGGTTTGGTCAGAAAATATTTGCCATTGCCATCCTCTGAGGCTGAGAGAGTAAGACTTGCCCAAAGTTACTGAGTGGTTTTCCTGCTCTCTAGAGTTATAGACCAATGTTCAAACAACCTTATGCCACAGGCTATAGGGAACTGTAGCATTGGCCCCATGATAGTATGTGAGCTATCCACTTTCCCTATTTATTTATTTATTTATTTATTTACAGTTTTTATATTTTGCCCTTCTCACCCCGCAGGGGACTCAGGGCGGATTACAGTATACACATATATGGCAAACATTCAATGCCAGTTTGACAGACAATGAATACAGACAATACACAGAGGCTATTTAACCTTTTTCTGGCCGCCAGGGGAACTGCTGCTTTCATCGTCCATCAGCGACACCGATGAAGTTCTTCCACATTCCACATCCCGGAGTTTTCTTTATGGCCTCATAAATTAGTTAATTTAGCCTCCCACACAAAGTGGTACCTTATTTTCCTACTTGACAGATGCAACTGTCTTTCGAGTTGCAAAGGTCGACAACAGGCTACACAATGGCTGGACACCCACTCCAGCCCGGGCTCATGACCTTTTGGTTAGAGTGATCTTAATGCAGCTGACATTCAGCCAGCTGCGCCACAATCCCTATTGCCTTTGTATTACTGTACACTATTGTATTTTCTATTGAGTTATGCCTTCTTATAATTTGTCCAAACTACAATAGCCTCAGTTTAGTCCTCTTGTCTTCTAGGGAGAATTTGGGCCTGATTGGCTCTTGGATTTAGCTTCACGTTTTAAAAGAGTTTGTTCTCTTCCTGTCAGCTTTCTTCACTGCCTGACTTTCACAACCATCCATGGAGAGACAATTCTCTCTTTATATTTCATTGATAAATCTTGACACTTCAGAATCTTGTCTGGTTCCTTCATAGCTGCCTTTCCAAGTCTCAGTCTTTTCTAATTTCTTGGCTACAGTCTTCATCCTGATCAGTGATTGAGCCAAGTATGGCTATTTCATTGTCTGCTTAAAAGCAATGCTCATTATCTGTGGTCCTTGTTTTTCTCTTCTTAGTGTTCAACTGTAAGCCTAACTCTTCTGCCTTTTCCCTCTCTCGATACGCCAGGAGAAAGATTTTTGGGAAACGATGCCATCTGTGAATATGCAGTTTGAGAATGAAAGAGCTTTCTTTCTTCCAATGTTGTCTCCTTGCCTCTTCGAGGAATGTTCTCTAGTTGTATAATAGTGATGTTCTTTCAAACATTTGCTAATTTAGAATATATCCCAGATGTTCCATCAGTATGCTGGTCCTTGTTAAAAAAAAAGATAATAACAAGGCCTCTGTATGCCTTCCTCTCTAACATTAGGGCAGCCTGTCTCTCCATTCTCACCCACGCATCATGGAAGTGAGGAAAAGGGTAAAGCTCTGCTCCTTATTAGTGCACTGTCTTTTGAAATGAGGTGGTGAAGGAACAGAGACCTATAGCCCTTACGATTTGACAAGCGAAAATATGGACATGATTTGTTTAACTTAATTCTTTAATAATAACAACATTATTTATATTCTGCCCTTCTCCCTGAGGGGACTCAGAGTGGATTACAGCGTATAAACAGACACAGGCAAATATTCAATGCCTTGTTATAATGAAATACAATGAGACAACGGCAAAGGCTTCTCCTTTCATTTCCGGCTATGGAGGTTGTGCTCATCTCCATTTCTAAGCCAAGAAGCCTGCATTGTTCATAGACACCTCCTGGTCATGTGGCCGGCATTATTGCTTGGAGCGTCTTTTTTGCCTTTTCACGCCAAATTGGTACCTCTTGATCTACTCACATTTGCATGTTTTCAAATTGCTAGGTTGGC